AGTTCATAACACGTTATTTCATACTTCGCATTTCTCCTGCAGGAGCTTTTTCGTGAATCTCGTATAGTCTTCAATGATGGCAGTATGGTAATCTATACAGTATATAGCTAAATTTTAGCGGCTAATATTCGGTACTGTTCTTGTGAAATACGGCCAGTCAAATCCATTATTATAAAGGCAGTGATCACGATTCGATTTAATTTTTTCTGTAGTATTTCTTCGTTACTCATGATAGAGAAGACGCTTTTAATCAAATCAACATCGAGCTATTGCTCTGCCTCGCTTGACTCTTCAGCTTCTGATGCCGCTTGTAAAATTTTGGAACTCACGTATAATCTTCTGAAAAACAAGTATAAAGATTTATAAATTCCGAATCTTTCTGTGTAACCGAGGATCGAAACCGATGCAATCTCAGTGAATTTAAGTTTCCAATTATTAGAGAATTATACGTGAAGAATCCTCTATAAATAAGCAAAGTAATTAAATTTATACTTAATTGTCACGGATATCTTAATTAAAATGCTGAAAATAAGAGAAAAGAAATGTTTAATTATTTCAATATTATTTCTCAAAATAAAGTCGAAAATTATATCGAGGTATTATATCAAACAAGAATCGAGGTAATTTTTACATGTCTTTAGAATGATAAAATCGAATTCAATAAAATTTATATCCATATACACACACACACATATATATATATCGGTTTTTATCTTCGGTTAAGAAATGATGGAGAGATAGGTATCGCGATAGGTAGAAGCGTGCAACTAGGGAATGCGCTTCCGTCGATTTAATTATCAATAATCGATCGTTGACTAGACCTAATGATTTTATTAAACGACGAGTCAGCATAGGCACTGAAATCACGTCTCGATCATCATTAGATCAATCGAAGCTCAAGTACCGTGTTGCCAGCGACGTTTGCGACTTCACAAGTCGTCGCGTCTGATCGTTTGCACTGTCACCATAAATATATCTCATATTAATATATTATATGTATCATACATATATATATATATATTAATATCTCTATTATATATATATATATATACTCTATATATAAATACATAAACACATGAATATATTGAAACGATAACTTACATATAGGTGTGACTCGCTGCTTGGCGTTAGGATATAGTTAGAAGGAATTAATTAACAAATGATAATATAGAGCGAACTGTGTATAGCCCTTGATGTACGAGATATCCCCATTGACCTTCTTTTCCGACTCACGAGCGGAATAATTTTATTTGTGCGAAGTAGATAGCAAAGAAAGGGAGAGGAAATGAGAGGCAAGGAAGTAGTCGCGGAGCGCTCCATTTCTTTTCTTCCCCCCCCTCCCCCTTTGCGATAGAGAGTCTTTCGCGCATAATATGTATAAATGTAAGAGATTCGCGGATGTGGAATGATTATGGAGGGATCAGTCGGATGAAAGGGGAGGAAGTGGTGTTTAAATACAGGGACCCAATATATTGAAATTCACACACCAGGGACTCATGTTCCAATCGGTAGATTCTAAACGTTGTTCTCTCTCCGAGCGAAACAGATATGTTCAATCGGGTATATTAATCGCGCTCGAGAAAATCTCGAGGGTCGGTCTGATACGATACACCAATATTTAAATTATAACGTACTTTGGGATCGGAGCAACCGGTATCATATCGCGGCTTAGAAATAATAAATTCCCGCACGACAGATTACGGTTGTAATCTCACGCACGTGCGCTTCTCAGATAAACTTTCGACATTCCTTTTCTCGTGCAGGCCGAGCCGCGAAATATGATACCGACTGCCTCGTCGTTCTAAATATGATAATTGCGTATAATACGCAATAACTTGTACGACGTTAAACCTATAACGGAACTGCATTGTGCGAGTCGTCGGTCGTTCCTTAATTATAATCATTACTGAAATGTAAATCGTTGCGGGAATCCGCTTCTATTCAGTCTTCAAAGGACGACGAAGTGTGTCGATACCACGACATTAAAGTGCGAATGTGAGGAATGTGGCCTTGATCGAGGAGTGAAAATTACGTCGACGATAAGTTGCGTGCGCATTGTCGAAGGGATTTTATCGCGCGATCTCCTCTTTGTAATCTTAAGATATTGGAATTGTTGGGGAGAACGCGAGCAATGGGACATTTTTTTTGATAGGAGAATGCTTTGCTATTAAACACCAAGTTTTATTACATGTAAGTCGCAATGCGCGCGAGATACTGTAAATATTGCGGGTAAACCCGATGCGGGGTTTTGCACATTTTTAGAAGAGCGTTCGCATATTTAGGCGATCGGCCATTTGGCGATTAAACCGCGGAGGGGTTTGGCAGAGACCTTTCCGAACGAGTCACGACATTAAAATGTACAGCGATTATATACCAGAACCAGATAGAATCTGAGGAGGTATTGGATTAATGGATCGCGCGCGCGAGCGAGGACGATAAAGGGAGACGCGAAATTGTGTGGCGTACGATAATATTATTATTATCATCTCACTGATTGGTACATAGTCATACTGGTCTCGTAGCGTTATAGAGAGCCATTTAAACTCTGCATGCTTAGCCAATTTGTGATCGCCGGCAGGTCCACGAGGTCCCGCCGCGCGACGGACGTTTTAATAAGGGTGTAAAACTATCGATAGAGGCGCGTGTAGGCGTCCGCGATACGTGACGATCATCTTTAGAAGTTCATCGAGCCGACAAAAACGGGACAGGCAAGTTACAGCGAATTGAACGCGGACGATGCGTCGCGAGAAAAACGACTGGAGCAACGGGACAGAGAAAGCAGAAACGGCGATGTTGTTGTCGTGCTCCTCTTCTAGACAATATCCCAGATTAGCTCGATAAAAATATGTCCTTTGTACCGGCTGGGTGATCGAATCCTCTCGCGAGAGGACCGGAGAGAACGCTTGATTGGCTCATTAATCCGCCTGATCGCGTCACATATCTGTGAGATGCGGAGGAACGGAAGACGTCACTCGGGATACGCGTCGTCATTGGATTTTTCTGCAAATAATAAACGAATTAATTTCGAAATTTCGCAATGTTTAAGCGCGTTCCGTTTGGCATTTAGTTACAAGACTATACGTTTGTGATGAAGTGAGGGAAGATTCGTACTCGCTTTCGACTTGTTGGACTCGTGGAACCGTTCCTTTCCTAGTCGCATAATCTATCGCATTTTGCACAGCAAATTCCTATAAATTTTTCTTGATTATTTCCAACTGAAACTTTTCCTTCTACACTGATGAATATTCGAAGTTAAATTAATAAGAACGTTAAATTATCGTTCATCCGAGCGTATCATACAATCAAAGCGCACTCTTCCCTTCGGATATCTTTAGTAGATCATGACGCTTATGGAAAGGCTCAAGAGAAAGGAAAACAGAGAAAGAAATACCTAATATAATCATCGCAAATCTATTGTACACTAACGTCTCGTGCTCCAGTCATTCGATGTAACGACCGTGCGAAGCGTTAAGAACTCTAGAGCATAATAAAATAGCCATAACGAATCGAACGAATAAATGGATTTGATGTTTAGACGCTGCCTCCGTTATGTGCCCTGCCGTAAAGAATAAAAAAATAACAAACAACCATGTACCCTCCCCTACCCTCACCTGAGAGAGAACGATATATAACATGGAAAATAAATTCGCAACAAAATAAATTGATTCTCTTTTTTTCACTTGTTATCCGTCATTTAAGGTAGAAAAACAACAGCTTGAAGTCTTGCTTTATGTGAGTTTATTATTATATATGTATATCACAAATTATATCACCTTTATTGTCCCTCGATGTGACTACGATCGTACAAAGTGTAATGTACAATATGTTCACGTTTTTCTTAATGTATATATGCTTCTTTCGAATATTGGACGAAGAGAATGAGAATACTTAAACCAAATTCGTGTTCCGCAACTCTGTGAATATACCTTCCCGCTTGTATATCATTGGTTACAGAATGAACTTACAAATTTGCCTGCCAAATGTAATAATCGGTTATATTTCACTTGATTATTCTTAACAGTAGAACGTAGGATATATTCGCATATTTTCCGCCAGCTAGTTTCTAACTACGAAATTCAGCTGGGTTAACGCTCGGCCTGAAGGAAGAAGATAACGCATTCCTCCCACGAATGATATGATACGAAACACGTGCTGGTAACTATTCACATGATATACGTATTTCCTTTTTACAATAATATCGTCGCAGGTAATTTTAATAATTAGGGAACAGATCCTTTTAATTTTAATTTCTCACACTTTCTCTGTTCGTTCAAATTAAATACTTTCAATGCTACAATACTTTGGCGAGGTCAGATGTATAATTTTATATCATAAATACTGGCGTAAGGACCGGTTCCACCTTTTGGTAAATTTTACCTGTTAGGTAAATTTGGCAATTCGCGCATGTGATTGGGTAATCTTGCTACTTACCCAATAGGTAAAATTTACCAAAAGGTGGAACAACTGGGCTTAAATGTGTAGTATATAGATAACGTACTTTTTTTACAAGATTAAAATTTTATGAAAGAGATAATAATATTCTGTTGTAAATCAATTTATCGTTTCAATCAATTTACCGTTAATTTTATCAAGTTTTTTTTGAATAGCTTATCAGTGAAATAACTAATAAGCTTTATTAATATATAATTATATAATTGTATGATTGTGAGTAAATAATATTAAATAAATAAAATATATAAAATATTACTATCGCCATACATATTACATGACAGACTTCGTTGTTTCCTGATTATTATAATTTCACTTTCATATACAATATTTTAGAAAAATTACAAATATGCACAAGATTAACATAAATAGAAATCTGTTATTTGTACATATCTCTAATATTAACGAAAGTATCAGATCACATAGTCTCTAAATAGCCTAAACAATATTCATTAATTCAACAAGTATTATTCGATTAAAGAATTACACATGGAATAAGAGATAAATATATATATATATATATATATAAAATCCACAGGAGAATATATATTTGTAGGAATAAGTTGGACTTTAATCAGACCAATCCTCCTCAGCTCTGCAAATTAATAGTACTTTTGTTAATATTTTACGATTTTGCTGAAATCAATTTACTGCCCATCACCGTTGCCAAGCTGCTTTTGAATAAGGCAAGCATATTGGACAATACACTGTTGTTCACTGTATAAGCAATAATATAACAATGTTTATAATTATACAGATACGTGTAAATATTAGGCGAAAACAAATAAATTACAAAAATATGATATACAAGGGACAATTATTAACATCTTAAAAAAATTTCACTCATTGTAGCTGTATAGAATTGGCTGTGCAAACTGATAATGTTCCACTACTTTTCTCTTTCCATATAGTTGTTTACAAACTATAGAAATAATTATCGAATTATATGAAATAACTTTCCATACTCCATTCAAATGAAGTGCATTAATAAAACGTATGTAATAATATTAAGCAATAAGCGAATTTAAAGTCAAAGAGAAATTCTGTACTAACTTTAAATACAAAAAATCTTAAAAGCTCACTCTCAGTTTCATTAGAATAGAATAATTCAGCTTTGATGAAAACAAATTCTCATTCTTGTGAAAATATTTACTATATACTGTTATCATAGATTTAATAGTATTAATAAATATTTATATATACACCCATTTACAGGCAATATAATTTAAAAGCACACAGTTTAGCACACTTAAGGACACACCACACACACGCAAAATAAATTAAATACTTAATATAGACCCGTGTCTAGGACGTCCGTTCTTCTCTTTCCCGCGCGGTTGTTCCTTAGTTGTTCCAGTGATATTCAAATTCAATTGTGCGGTTGATGCCGTAGTCGCTTCGTCATCCGATTCAATTGGACTGATTCTGATTGCTTGGTACCATTGATTCGTCAAATCTGTCATCTGTGATTTACAGTCCTTCAACTCCTGCTGCGTGAATCGTCTCGTGAAGAACGGAATGAAAAATTTGAGATCCCATCTTGCAAAACCGCGAATTCGCGATTGCAAGAAGGATACTTCCATTTCCTCCTCCGTGAGTTCCGACAAGTGCTCGGAATCAATGGCTTGTCCCTAGATAGAAAAATAACATCATGTATTATCTACATAAAGATTTTGTATATTAATTATTTGTACCGTAAGACTTTTTAAATTACCCATTCTCTCGTTTTGCTCAATGTAACTTCCTTATCCTTTTTCTTCCGCCTGCTGTTACTTTTCTGCTTCTTTTCAGCCCTTAAGAATTTCAACAGAGGCATAGTGGATCCACCAAATATTAAAGTCGTGAACAATATGATGATAAGCGTCGTTGTTATAATAACGTGGCGTGTTTCATCGCTGAAATCTAAATGGAGCGATAATGCATAGGAAATAGCACCGCGCAGGCCGCTAAACCACATGATGAACATCATCTTCCTCGTGATTTGATGCTCGCGGAAACGATTAACGAGTAAGGCCAATGGAAAGATATTGGCAGCTCTGCCGATCAGGCACAAGATCACAGACCAAACGACTAATGCTGGCTCAAACTATTAAAAAAAAAGAAAATTTAATTAAAAGCATTTAAGGACTATTCGATATATTACATCATATTCTTATTATATGATACCCTATGTCTAAAGCTGAACAATGCTAATCCCAAGTATGCAAAAACGCAGGTCTCGGCAATGAATGCTAAAGTTCGCATTGTCTGCTGCATTGTAATTTGCGTTACAGTTGACAAATTGAAATGTGTGTAGTGCGACATGACTATTCCGTTGAATAGAATCGCCATAATTCCTGCAACAATGGATTAGTATACAGTAAATAAACAATAAAGCAATCATACAATAAAGGAATTCTCTTTATAATCATTACAAATATTTACCTGACAGTTGTATGCCTTCTGCTAAAACATATGGAGCATATGTAAACACCAACATTATGCCAAACTCCAAAGATGGATTCTTCCTGAGGTCTACATGCTTCAACAACAGTGCGCTTATTAAAGCGAATACCACGCCAATACCCGCAGATGCAAAGAACATGAGACAAAATCGATTCAGACCAAGTATGATAGCCTCGCTGGTCGTCGCTGCGTTGTTAGACTCTAGGACGGAGGTGGTCAATACGATAGAAATAGCGTCGTTCAGAATCGATTCTCCAAAGACTAACATGTTTAAGACTGGATCAACATCCAGAGCGTGAAAGATCGCAACTGTGGCGACTGGATCTACCGCTGATATTAGCGACCCGAAGGCGAAGCTCTCGACAAAGCTAAGCTTGTACGCCACTTTTGCTAGACCTAAAAGATATATCCCAGCGCCAATGACGAATGCGGAGATGGCTGTTCCGAAGATGGCAAATACCATGATACTGCCGATATTCTGGAAGAAGTTTCCCTTATGCAGATTATAGCCTGATTCAAAGATGATGGGTGGAAGTAGGACTAGGAAAAATGCGGTCGGTGAGAAGGCTTCCTCCTTCCTCCAGTTTGCAATATTTTGATGCGACATGAGGTTTATGATCATGCCAATTGCAGCACCTAGGAAAACGATCACCACCGACTCGGGAAGATACTGGAAATTGGTCTGCAGCATCAGATGTATTAACAATATGCCTAGCGCTAGGACGCATAGTACAAAGAATATGGACATGGAACTGTTGTGCTCCTCTTCAGCAGAGCCCTTGTCAGGCAGGACCGGCTCTGCTGGAGCGACGGTGGTCGTAGTGGCATTGGTTGAATTGACAGCATCTGGACTCTGTGACGACACAGAGATGTCTGTTGTGTTCCTGTCATTGGTGGGACTTGGCGATGTCGCACTATTTCTCTCGGTCGTCTGGTCGCTCGCAACACTGTCAGGCTGCGCCGTGCTTGCTGATGGTGATGGTGGCTGTTTCGTAGTGGTTGAACTAGCATTGTGACTGACAATGTAGCTTGTATTGTTTGCAGGTCGCGCTGTGCTAGATACTTCAGGTGATACGTTCACGTTTGTTGTGACATTCAGAATGACTGGAGCGTTCGTCACCGTGGACGTGGTCTTGTTCTCGGTGACGATCCCGCTTGTATTTAGGTTAGTTGTGTCCTCGCCATACGATTAAATGTCATTTCTCAACGGTGTACCATTATCTTGCAGGTAGCAGAAGACGGCTTTGCAGCTTTCTCTCTTTTTCTCTTTTATGTCAACGTTTTTAGAACTCGGTAAAGTTGCGAGAATTCTGACGTGTGACTAGTGAATTAGAATGTTCAAGATCACAGCTGACTCAGCCGTCAGTCTTTACAAATACAAAAAAATTCCCTAGATTATTTATAATGATGTTTATACAAAATTCCGTGTGTATTAGATAAAATAATTTTTGAAATTATTAATAATCTTTTGTTGACGGAATATATATATTATGCCTTTTTTTGTATTCTTACTTATGCCCTATTTGTATCCTGGAATATTCACTGAAGTAAGAGTAGCTACGTTTTTATCTCTAGCTTGATTTTTTAAATATCATTATATTTTATTGGTAAAATGTAAAATAAAAGGAATGATGTCAGAAACAAAGTTGTGGTTACAAAATTGAAATATTTGGAGTTTTTATTGCCCCACCCTACTTATTCTATTAATTACTAAACCATTGATTATATTCTCCAGATACTTGAATGGGTGAGTTTTAAAACATTTTTACGGTTCAAACGCGCGGACTGAAAATTCCAAAAGTTTTTGAAATCGCTGTTTTCTCGCATTTTTTCTGTGCATCAATTCTTACCCAATATCCTCTTCATTCTTTACCGATTTTTTGAAAATTTAAATTTTCATAGTTAGGACTTAAAATTCTAGAAATTCTTAGACTTGTCATTTTTTGATAGTTTAATTGATGTCATTTTATACCTGATTATACTTGATACTTCGCTAAATTTTGCAAATTTAAATTCCGCGAGACGAAAAATTTCAGGAAAAAAGAATGGATGCTCTACATGTAGAAGTATATTTATTCCACTTGTGCGTTATGATTATCAGTCATGCGTCATGATTTTAAATTTTCATTCGTATATTCCCACGCTAATCCAATGCGACCAGTTTCTGCTGGTTGTACAGGATCTTCACCTAATCTTTGTTCGACACCCTTCCAAGATCTTTCTTGTAAATATTGAGCTCCAGCCTTACCAATAGCAACAGTACCTAACAAAAGAATTGCTATATAATAATTGTTGCAGTCTACATAAAATCACTTTAAATTATTAAATTGCTTGCACAGAAAATACATATAAAAAAATTTAACGCTTAGAAAAATAATTCTTTAGTAAAAGTAATCATAAAATGTAAAAAAATATTTCTTATTAAAAATGCGATTTCAAGATTGCAGTTTTTACTATTATATTTTATTAATTTCTTAAAATTTCTTTTAATTTAATAAATTTAATAAATTTAATATACCTGATGAACGGACTGTCAAAGCATTCATTTGATCTGTACATGTGTTATCCTCGCAATTTCTAATATTACTAGTAATGAGAGAGACATCCGAATCCATTGATGGCTTAAAGTCAATGTAATGAGAACCACCAGGTAATATCTGCCGAAAGTCCATAAAATATTGTGGAGAAAACTCTCTCGCGCTGTTAAATGCTAATTCAACTTCGTATACCGTAAGTATAGGCTTAAAAAAGTCTCTCGAGTCGAATACTTCATTCTCTGGACAAGCTATCACGACAAAAGCATCAACCTGAAATAAAAGTCAAATTGATCTAATTGCATAGTTGATGAAATTAAATTCAATATGTTTCATTATATTACACATAGCTAACGTACCTCCGCGAAATTTGCAAGCTTGGCAGGATTTATCTTTCCTACACTAAGAAGATAAGACTTTTTATTTTTTTGTTTGAGTATTCTTTTTACTGTGTTTATAGCTGTTAAATATTCTTGAATACCCAATGTGGCCACTACAATTCCGACAACTTTGGCATCTCTCAACTTTTCTATTAAGAATCTTCTTCGTTTCAACCAAGGTGTATTCAACGCTTCAAACTCAATAATTTTACGATTTGCAAAACAATACCATCTCTTCACAGGTATACTCATCGCTAATAGCGCGAGAGTTTTTTCTTTCTCTCCCAAAAAGAACCCTTCATAATCCTGTATTTTATATCCATTTTCTAAAGTATAATTTCTACCTAAGACAACTGAGGCCGGGCTTGTTTTTATATCAGTATATTCCACGTTTGATGTACAATTTAATTTAGACAAAATTAAGTGTTTATATATAGGTTTCAATATATTATATATATATTCTGTAATCATACAATTTGCATTATGTTTCTACCTTCATCGCCATCGCCAGTTTTCTCTATTTCTAGCAATATTTTAAACATTTACCAATTTTATGTGCATATGCCACGTCATAGAAAAATATAATCTTCTTTGTGCAATCGGAAAAGATTCGCTTAAACTCATCAGCGAATTCCGTCGTGTCCAATTGGTTTCTCAGCAAAACGTGAAAAATCGGTAAACGAGCAGTGGGATTAAGGCAAGCGTGTCCGAAGTGTATTATGCCATCCGCGTCAATGTGTTGCGCCGTTATCTCGTCGACGCAACAGCTACCACATGTCGTGTCCCCTAAAATATACACTTTCTGCCCTATTTCCTTTTCTAAGCGTAGCGCAACTTCTACCGAGTTTGGTAATAAGTTGTCTGGAAACTGTAGACATACCTATAATACACGAGAGAGCATTACAGCCTTAAAGAGATATTAAGTTAATAACGGAATTATACATATAGTTATATAGAATTCTAATAAGTTATACATATAATTACATATTACAAAAATTATCTAGCCATGAGATAATATGCTACACAACTGTTCACATCAAGTACATATCTCTACTTATGTATTAGATAATTTAAGATCTGTTTTTTTTATAGCTGAAGTATAAATTTTTGAAACTTATAGATATATGTATGATAAGTATTTGGCTAAAGCGAGAAAAAATTCTAGCGCAGTCTAATGAAGAATAAAAAACAGACCCATAGACTTGCAAACGCTTGCAATTAACTTAACTTATAACCTAATCTTATCTACCATCAATAAATATCTTCAGCAATGTGATTAACATTATTATTATTATTATTGTTATGGCTTTTTCTCCATCCAACATTCTCGTAACAAATATATAATGACACCTCTCTAGAAAAGAGATTGTTTTTAACAATTTGACACATAACCTCAACTTTATCTTTAATTCGTGAAAAAAACGATGCTAAATCTTTTAGAAAGATCTCTGCAACTATCCTACACTATTATACATTATTAGTATCTACACGAGGCATTTTTAAAAACGTGTGTATCCTTTAAACCTGTTTTAAGGCATTCGTTCGAATCCAATGAGCACATTTCTCTACATCGTATGGATCGTCCTGACCGTCTGTCACCTCGATGACTTCCGCCTTGTCCTTCGCAGATTTTTCGGTCTTCATCAACGAGATCATGTCGTGGAGTCCGCGAGCACTCGGCGCGGAGATTTGTTTACGATTGCTGCATGCATACGTGTGTCACTGGAATTCGCATATGGCGGGTCTTCACGAGCCCCCACCCGCAAACCTGCGCAATTTGTGCGGTAGTCACCCCCCTCATTCCTCACGATTCGTTCTATAGTCTACACAAATTCTTTCCCTTTTCTTTCGCTGCTGCGGGACAGCAAAATGTATTTTTATAAATAATATAATCTACTTATATATGTGAATGCCCGAAAGGACAGAAGGAAAGATCGATCTATTATTTCTGTTGCACCCTTTCGCGTCTCTTTCATTCGAAAGCCGGAATATTGTACACGCACTTTGAAATGGAGAAACAAAGATGTCTCGCAGAACAAATATTTGAGATCTTACCTCTAATAATAATAATTTTTTCGCCTTTACGGTCTCGAACAATGCGCCGATTACTATTCGATTTCGAAGCGCAACTTAATGACAAAACTTCTTTAATAAGAAAATTTCTAGTTTAATTAATTTAATATTATTGAAACTAATAAGAGATGATAGAAATTTATTGGAAAAAAATATTTAACTATAAAAATATTTGACGGAAAATATTTAAAGATATTTTTATGTTTAAAGACAGATAGAATTTAAAGATATTTTCGTTTGAAAGAGATAAAAATAAATAATAAAATATCGTTAATTTTTTCTGATGTTAATGAAAAACTTCTTATAAGACTGCTTATCAGCTAAAAATTATTAAGTTGCTTGTTAATTTAATATGTGACATTATTTACTACCCTGATTCTGTTCATGATTGCGTTTCAAGATCAAAAAAGATTTCGACGTGAGGTTTGCAGAATAATTCGCACAGAAATATTTAAGCATAATATTTAAGCTAAATCTGCTTCGACCGAAAAATAGGATTTTTTTTATTTAATTACATTTATTCTCATCGGTCTATTTCAAATTATAAAAAATATCATTTTAATATTGCGCTACTCAGTTTTATAGAAGTTACATAATTTCTATTCCATTGAGAGACGTGATGAAGCAGGCGATCTAGGCCAGGAAATGAAACGCGGAAATTACTTGTGTCAAATAAATGTATTCGTATAAATCTGCGTGCATAAAAATGTTTAAACGTGATAATAAATAAATACAAGTATAATAATTATAATTTTCATTGCTTTTTCGAATTATAAACTTATATTCAATCGTAATTCCTATGTTCGTACGAATTCACAAAATTGTAACGTTTGACATTTAATTTAATTCTTCTCGTGCAATTTTTCTACGCTGGAAGGAAATTGGATTCTCATCTGAATTATATTGGTTTCGATCCTTGACCTAGGCACTGCTGTTATCCTTAAATCCAAAATAAAAAACAAAGTCAGTTCTAGTTAATAATGGAGAACAATCGAGAAAAATAGAATAAGCTTTGTGAAAAGATGAAATGACGACAGTTTTTTTAAGTACATAATGCATGAAATTTACGTAAAAAGGTCCAAAATTTCTGACTCAATTCACTTCGAAACGTTGAAACTGGATTTGCCTTCAGTCATCAAGCGACCTAACATCTACTGTTATTATGTATTCAACCGCATCGCTTCATATTAAGTAGTGTA